CCCAAGCAAGTAAGGAGAAACACTGAACCTGATAAGATTAATTGATAAAGTATCATTTGAGATTAAAAAGATGTGAATACTTTTTTAATAATATAAAATTTTATTTGAAACTCATAAAGTAATTATTGAACTAAAAGGAAAAAAATAATTATCTTTAATTTAATGGGAACAAGAGATTAAATTTCCTTTACTAAATTCATCTATAATTTTATGTGACGAATACTGAAAGCGTGGCATGTAATCAAATGCCACGCATTAAAATTAAAATTAAAATCTCTTAATGTCAAAAGCATAAGCCATTATTTTTATAAGTTTATCAAGGGGCACCCAAACGCTTTTTCTGTACGCGCTATAAAATTGTATATGAATTTTATAAAGAGAATTATTAATCTTTTGTTCCTGTTACATTATATGATACATTATTTTCGCCTGTTCATTTATTAATTATTTTAAGTTAATTATTAATTTTTCTCCATGATGTTTCTACAAGAAACGCTCGTTTGAAATAAAATTTGAAAAAAATACCAATTAAAAACTTATATTTCAATTTCTTTTAAAGAAAGGATTTACATCATTCTAGAATTAGAAAGAAGTATACGCAAATACCAATTGTTTGAAAATATTTATTGGAATACAATGCATAAAAAAATTTAAAATCGTAATGTACAATTTTTACACGTGCGTAGGAATTTGATGTGTTTAAAATGATCTTGCACAAATTTCATAGTTTTATATGCTTTGGAATCCTGGAATCTTAGACATCAGGCTTCTGTTAAATTCTCAGATTACTTCACAGAGTGTCAAATTAAGTCCGCAGACATCCTGAAATGAAAGGAAATAAGCATTAAATTTAACTATAACAGAGAAGAGTAAATAATAATTTAATTTTATTTACGAAAACATATAGTTGAGCTATCACAATAATATGACATGAAGATTTATCTGTTTTAGCACGGTAAACTGCAAATTCCTAACCGAGAATGAGGTCCCATATCCCCAAATATCAACCCTATTCGTTTTCGTGCATTCAAATCCCGATTTACCAAAGTCAACGATTAATTCAAAGCCGCGCTGAATCCGAGGGAAGCTACAAAATTCAATATTCAGAACAAACAGAAACCATGATAAACAACCGAAGAATAGTCATGACTGTAAATAAAGAAGTCATCTATCACATTAAAATAAAACTTCTCATTCTTTCCGTTTTTTCATTTTTAGTAGACAGTTTTGTTTCACGCTGATGGTTTGTGATGGCAGTTTTCCATCGTGCAACAATAAGCAAACTTAATATTTTTTAGACAGGGTCCGGTTCATTCGCCGTAAATAAATTAGCAGTTAACAGTACTGTAAAAAGTATGACAAGAGAATGTAAAATTTATATATATATTTTTACACTATTTACTATGATATTTTCAAGAATTTTTTTCAAAAAACTGAGGCTGTGAGAACGCGCAGATAACTGAAACTGACAATATGGCTTGCGATATGGTATCATTTTCTTTAAAACAATACAATAGGCAATAATTGCAAGCATATATTCAAATATTAATAATTATTTAAGTATTTAAATAAATACATTTAATATACCCATTCAAAACAAATCAAAGTGATTTTGAACAATTCTAGGGAAATACATTCTACATTTGCTTGAAATGGAATACCCAAGCAAAGAAGTTTGATGAAGATAATTCATAGTTTCGTCTTGGTGTAACAAAGTTTAAGCGTCAACCATGATTTCGTTTTAATGTTTTCAGTATTCTTTTCGTTTATATTCAGAAAATATAAGGCTCTTTTTCTTGGTTTTCGTTTAAATGGGAATAAGTATGCGAAAATTAGAAGATTTAATTCCATTCAATGATTGAAAAAATAAAGCAGTTACAAATAGTTAAGTTTTGCTTTTAAAAAGAGAAAATAATCTCGAAGAACTATTCGATTTTGAACGCTTTTGCTTAGACTTTGTAACTTAATTTTTACTTGAATTTAAGGGAAAATTTGTTTTAAGTCTTTACGTTAATAATATTCAACATACTTAACTATTTTATGCTATAACGATTGTTGACTGTAAAATCACAGAACAATATATACAAGTAAAACCATTAGAGAAAACATTTATAGCTAAAGAACATAACATACGGCTTTATAACATTTTTTAACCAATTACGTCAGCGAATGTGAATTTTTAAAAAGAATTACCCGACAGCCTGATTGTGACGGACAATCTCAAATTTTAATGTAGGCTTTCGCTTTAGTATATATCTTCGACAATTTACCGGATATAATAGTTCGAGATGAATTTTTAAAATGTTGGTCGACATAATGGTGGTATTTCCCTGAAATCACATCATAGTAATGCAAAAATAGTTTTAAGACACTTGAAAATTTTCAGCAATAACGCAAGAAAAGAAATTGGAATTGAAAACAAAATAGATAAAAATTTTCCCTCCATTCTCAGCATAGTCGTGTTTCTTTTAAATCTGTACATTAATAATTGAATTATGTTTGCGGTTACCAAAAAAGAAATGAAACAACTCAACGTATACTTTCCGCAACAAATACGTGAGGAAACTTGAAAAAACCCAGCTTGAACAAACCTCGACTCTTTGAAGGTTATGATAATCAGGAAATATAATACTGCTCAATCGTGAGAGTTAAGATAGTCTGTTAAAGCAGTGACCTCAAACTGGTGGCCTGCAGGCTTCGTGTACCCCTCGAATATATTTCTAGTAAACTTATTAGCATTATCAGAAAATTAATTTCTGTGGCAAGAAACTAAAGAAGAGTTTAAGTTTTTAATGATTTTGAGTCTGATTTTACATGATTTTCATTACCATTAAAAGTGAACGAAAGACTTTTAGAAAGCAGAAAAAATCTACAAATGGAGCTAATTAATTTACAGTGTGATCTTATTTAAAGCTCTGATGATACAGATTTTATTAGCCATTTTCCGTACTTGTCAAAAGAAAAATAAATACCTTTGATTTTTGCAATGAGAATAATCTCTTTGTTTGGAAATATATTTGTGAACAGTTTTTCTCGCAGCTGAATATTAGTAAACGTAAAGAACTAACCAATGAGCATCTATCATTCGTGATACAGTTAATTTCTAGTTACTTTTCTTCAACGTTATCAAAATCGAAACACGATGAGGTGTTATAGCTGAAAAGTTGTAATACGAAATAAAGAAGTTTATAATTATTTACATATAAATATATGTACTTTTTCTGTATTCATCGAAGAAAAAACTAATTAACAAAAGGAAGATTATAGATAGTTATTCACACTCAAGGTTCTACTGCTGTAAGTTTTCATAATTTGTCTATTTTTAGTTTAAGTAAGTCAAGGTTATAAGCGATTAATTCAATACACTAGAATTATTTGAAATAAATATCAGTCTGAAATTTTAATATTTAATTATCAATGCTTTTGTACAAAGTGCAACCAACAGAAATTTCTTGCAGATACCAACCTTTAGATTTCAGACAGAAAATAAAAATAATTTTGAATTGTTTGCTTTGCTTTATTATTATTACTATCGATGTATGGTTTGATAAACGTTAAGTAAATGAAATTAAAGGTTGAGTTAAAAATTTGTTTTGTTCAAAATCCTTTTCATTTTGGCAAAAGAAAAAAAATCGGTTCGACGGTTTCTTTTGGATTGTACATTCGGCTCGCATGCAGTTTGATTTACGGGCCACTGGGTTAAATAAAACAAAGATTTCTTAAAGAAATGACACACGGTGAGTAGATATTTGGTAAAATGTTTTAGGATGTAATGAATATTGAATACTTGACTCTTTTGCTATTTTTATTAGTACACGAGAGTGGAGGAAGGCTTTTAGTCCAAAAGGGCTTTGTCCCTGAAGGACTATTGTTTTCGTTTTGCGTTGAATCACTCTGAATGTTCGTTTCACTTTTCAAACTGTTGCCACCAAATGTTAGAGTCCTGCATTATATTTGAAGAAATTAAATAATGAAAAATCTGCATAAATGTATGTGTATTTCTCGCATTGTGATAAAAACGGACATAAGCCATCGATTTTTGAACGAGTAATCCTCCTACATATGGGCATGTGGAAGACCAAATTTGAAATTTGGAATTTGTTTCATATTTTGTAAAACTTTAACGAATTTTTGAGTAACAAACTCAAAGATTTTAAAGCGAGCAATGGCAACACTCTACGGGCACTTTTTATCTCCAACGCGCGGAACTGTGTATCGGAAATTCTAAAGATATGCTCATTTTGAAATTATTTTGCGACATTGCTGTTGAACTGAATTTCATGGTTTAAATGCAAAGAACATGATATTTAACAAATAAAAGTAACACACAAAATGTTAATAAAAGCCTCTTTGGACGTAATTTAAAATATGAAACCTTTCAGATTTTTTTTATAATTATTATCATTTTTCATTTAATTCAATAAATTGATACACGTTTACAAGAAAGTTCATACATAAAGATTACAAGAAATTCTTTCACTGTGAGCTGATATAAATAAGTGATCAGAAGAAAACCGTTTGAATAGTCTACATCTTAAACTTGATTATGGAAGAGTGTCTGAAATTCGTAGGTAACATACACAATTTTAGTCAGATAGGAAACACCAGTCTAGCCTCGAAACTCATTCACATAGCTTGCGAAAGAATGTTATCAAGGAAAAAGAAGAGTTTCTTATGTTAGAAGGACCTACACGTGTTGCAAATGTACTAGGTATCCACAAAAATGTTAGCTGTTTTGGACTTATGTTAGTTAAAGCCTTCTGAAATACAAATTCATTCAGAGAAAGAATCCCTGTCTATGTTAATCAACTACTTCCAATGTGATACAAAGTCATATATGTCTTTATAATTAAACCACTCATTCTTTGGGCCGAAAAGTATCTAAACAATGTTCTGCAACTGGCTTTTGCCAACAAAAGCCTCATTTAATAAATGGTTGTCTAGAGCCCTAAACAAGTGATATTTATTGGCGAAAGCTCTAAAGAACATGGACTGGTGTCTCTAAAATGTTTTTTAGTTACTTTTGCCACAGGACGGCGAGCATTGTGATGAAGACAAACGACCAACTTTCTCATTCAACAATGTTGGCTCCTTCTTTGAAAAAATGCAATGACTTCTGTCAAGCTATTGACACTCCTGAAGAGTTTTGTCTTCAGGGTGTCAGCTTCTATCGCACCCCTCAAAATATCGTTATCAGCGGTCGTTTATCTGTTTACTGCGCTATTTTGCTTCGAATGAAATGTCACCGCTTTGGAAAATGGGCAACGACCTCGCCGGGAATTGAACCATGAACCTCTGGAATACGCGCCCAACGTGCAGACCACTACACTACGAAGACATGCTAAGAAGGCGGGAGAAATACCTTATAACGTGAATTGAAACGTCTTCTTATTTGGCTGCAACAGTTAGCTTGATTCATTATATATGAACATAATCCAAGCCAAGTATTTAACAACCTTAATTACTCTACTGATTTCCGCTTGAAAATTTAATTACCCTCCTCGAGCTTCAAGCAATAAACGAGCTATAACTCACCAATGGCGATATGATTTCTAATCAGTGGTAGTTTAACTTGCATTTAAATCCTGGTGAATGAACTGGCCGCTTGGATACTAGCACATGTGTAACTTGCATATGAACCAGTTTAAATCTGAAAGTGTTAAGTCACTTGATTTTCAGTGAAGTTATTTATGTTTATTATGTTATGAAGTACTCTTTTTGTTTACTTATATTTTCAGAAATAATACACTTTTAGAGGCAGCCGCTATAAGATACTTCCCTGCATTTACTACCGATATATACTTCGTGCTTCTACTATTATTCCCAGGGTGTTGAGTTCAGTTATCAATGTTATACAAACTTCAAAGAATTATGCCGCCTTTATATATTCGAAAACATCATTCAGTCACGTTTTCGTACTCGAACAATTGTACGAAAACGTGACTGAATGATACGAAATACAATATTCATAATTCGCTGTCAGATAATTATTCTTCGAAAAATAGATTCTTTTGGAAATTAAGATTTCCTTTCCATACTTTAAATCTATAGTATTTTAAAAGATGATCCATTTGGAATTCTTCAGAAGATTTAACTTGAGTGTCAGTTTCTAAGTACGAAATACAGCAAAATAAAAAAATGTAGAAATTTTTTCCAGAAACTAATATTTTTTAGACCACGTGAGTTCCCTATTGAGAAGACAATATATTATACACACTTGCTATACGACAGGTGCAAATGAGCACAGTGGAAACCATTGACTTGCTAGTTGCTGTGGCTGCAGTTTTCCCAATCGCATCGCTACTGGACAGTAGAAAACTGGAAGCATGCCATCTGACCCCATGAATCGAGATCTCAACTGCTGTAGGTGAATAGCAGAATCTATTAGTGGTGTAAACAACGCGAAAAGCCGCATCTCTTGTGTCACACAGGCGTTTTATAGGCCGGTGGTGGCGGTATATATGGCTAGGGCATCTTTACGTTGCCCTCTTTGGATCCTTTCTTCACGCTGGGCGGAGTTCTGATGATCTGGGACTGCTTTAGCATTGCTAGACGATACCATCATCCCTTTTTAAGCACCTCCATCGAGCCTTTTCCTTTGCATCATACTCTTTTTATCCGTGAAAAAGTGGTGAACCGACACATTATGAAACAATTTGTATAAAAATAAGTTTTTAGAATTCCGGATGTCCGGCCACTTTACTTGAATGCGATGTAAGTTGAATGGACATTTCATATTACAAAATAACTATACTTTTCCATAGGAAGAGGCTTAGATTAGTTACTTAAACCAGATAGGATGTAACAGGAATGAGATATTTTTTCATTAAATAATGTTAAAAATAATCAAAGCATTTTGTCTTACCTTATCCCTCAAACTCTACCACCAGTATTTCCCATATCCGTAGTAAGGCCAGTAATAGTATGGATATTTCCCATAGTACGGCCAATAGTAAGAAGATGGGTAGTAGTAGTAATAAGGCCAACTCTTGCCGTAATAATGAGGATAATATCCACCGTAGTAAGACTTTGCACCAGCCAGAACCGTGACCAAAAGAGCGAAGAATAAGATGAGCAACTGAAAAGACATGAGTTATTTATTATTTAATTATGTAATAATTAACAAAAATCTTACGTTTCAAATTTCATGAAGTCTGGATTTTAATTCTTGATGATCAAGTGGAAAACAGAAGCTGCCGTTTTTTAATTCATATTCAATTCTTCATATATGTTAAGTACTGGACGTCTTGATAAGTCTCAAGACATAAAGTTAGTTAATTAGAATTTAGCATGTTTATTTTTGAGCCATTTAAGATGTTCGGCTAGGTCAGTTTATATATCGAGTCATTTGAAATTAAGCATTCTACTAATGTTTGTGGAATGCAGATGGATCATGGTCATATGGCAAGAATCGGGTTAACTGAGTAGGATCGGGTTAACTGAGTAGGAAGCTAAACTAATTAGGAGAAAAATTAGTCATTTTATCTTTTCCGTTAAGGGAGGAAGTTACACATAATTCTCGGTTTTACGGCAGTGCAATGTTCATATTAATCCTATCACAAGTTGATTTGTGAAAGCTATCTGTCTAATGGAAGAAATGCCTTTCTCAATGATTTTCTAAGGAAAACGCTTTCTTCCCGTTGCACATGGAGGAGGGGATGAAAACGCTTACAGCAACTGTTTAAATCTACGTAATGGGGTTCGAAGCCGGGTCGAGATATTATTGTTTATTGGGGTTTTATCTAGTCGACTAATAGGCAGGCTATCGGAAGCTGGAGAAAATGAAATTAAAATGGGTACTTACTGAAAATCCCGTCGACCAACAAGAGACGGCGCCAATAGCGCCAGAAAAAAAAAAAAAAAAAAAAAAAAAATTAAATACAAGAAAAAAAGGTCTGTTGCTTTTTTTTCTTTTAAATTTATTATATTATCATTTATTTATATTGAATTTTTCATTAAAAATTTTCATTATTTTTTATTAAGAGGATATATTGTAAAAGCAATTATTTCATGTTATGGAATTAGTTATGGAATAACTTTGTAAATATTCAACAGCATGCTCTTCTGTATTTGGCAGGTCCCAAATTTTTATCATTTATTTTTTCGAAAATGCGTAATAGAGATAAAAAAAGGAGTATTTACTCAAGAATAATAATTAACCGTGTAATCAAGGTTACATCAAACCCGGCGTGTATGAAGATTTTTCCATTTTTGGCGAAAAATCGCGTATTTTGGCGTCTTTTCTTTAATAGGCAAAAATGGTCCACGGGTTTTTCCGTAAATATCTTAAAATGCAGTTAAAACCAAATTTCTATGATAAAAAACTGTGCATGCCTAAGGTTTATTTTAATTAACACGTTGTTTCTTATGTTGAACCCTTTCTGAACTTCGTTTTCATCTACTGCACCAGAAAACGCCACTTAAAGAGACAATCTAAGTCTAGAAACTTAGGCTTAAAGCGTAGTAATTCTGTTTTCTTCCTGCTCGAGTGCTGATTGTTGGCGAGCTAACGCTTCACTAACAATTGCTAGAGATGGCGCATTAATAGAGGACCAGTTCCTTAATGTTAAATATTATGATTTGGAAACATCGATTATCTATTTCAATAACGAATATCTAATTTAAATTTTTTATTGTTTTTAATTGAAACTTCAGGCTGAAATACCGTTAGATATGTTAGTTGCTTTTACTATCATGCGTTGTTATTCGTTTGCGTTCATACCATAATTACGAGACAAAAGCTAGAGGGGAAGAAAATGACCTTGAAGTGCCTAATCTAAAGTAACGGACTGTAGTCTAATAGGTTGAGTCAGTAGTTAGATTAAATGCAATTTAAGTTAACCTTATATATTTCATATAAATTATTCACTTATTATTTCTTCTTCTATAAATGGGAATACAGAAAGCACATCCAGAAAATTCGAAAGTGATTCAATCGCCAAGCGTTTGGAGCACATGAGAATGAGGGAAATTTATTAAACATTTCGCCTTTTAAAGTCATCAGGACGCAGAGGACAATAACTTGTTGCTTTCCTTGACATTGAAAATCGCAGTTTATTCTCTGCTGTGACTGATGTGAAAGACTTACGCTTGGCTGATCAGATTCATGCATATTTCTCTCGCAATCATTAATAAACTTGCTGAAATTTGTGTTCTTTACATAATATTTTGCAACTGTTGCATAAAGCAATAATTTTTCGCAATTATTGCATAAAACAAGCGCTGACACTATTGTCGTCCCTCTCCTCCTACACGCAGAAAAGCAAATTGCATTTCTTTTCAGATACAGAAATGCTGGAAAGCGAATTTGCGTAATAGTGGGAACTCTTACACGCATATTCCTTTTGCTTGAATAAACGCGCGTTTTCTGACGACAAAATTCATTATATTTTTAATAAGTTTCATTCATTATATTTTCAATGAAATGCTGTGCAATTTCACAAAAGATAGTAGAATTATTACTCCAAAGAGGCAATTTGCCCAGAAGGACTATTAATTTCGTTTTGGCATTTTGCGTCGATTCACGATAAGCGTTGTTTCACTTTTCAAATTGTTGCCACCAAATAGTATCGCCCTGTATTATATTTAAAGAAATTAAATAATGAAGAATCTGCATTGAATGCATGTATGTTTCTTTCATTGTAATAAAACAATGGTACCTAGAGCCATCAAAATTTAAATAACGTAATCTTCCATAGAACATGGGCATGTAAAAGCCCTAATTTGAATTTGAAATATGTTTTATTATAGATTTCATATTTTGTAACACTTCAACGAAGTTTTGATTAACAAACTAAACGATTTCAAAGCGAGCAATGGCAACACTGTTCGGGTGGGGGGCGAAACATTTTTATCTCCAACGCGCGAGACTCTGTAAGGAAATTCTAAAGATATATTCTTTTAAAAATTATTTTGAGATATTCCTGTTGAACTGAATTTTATGGTTTGAGTACGTAGAGCAAGGATGTCAAACTCGCGGCCCACAAATATTTTTGCGGCCCGGCCAATATATCGGCAAATAATAATATATAATAATAAAATAACATATCGAAGAAGAAAAATGAAATGTTTACTGCTAAGTAATTAACGATAACTTATTCAGTATTGTTAGATTACTCACAGCAAGCTGACACACACACTACTTAAATTGCAAATGTGTGTGAGTAGCTTGCGTTCAGCTAACTTCGGCTTTTGGGGGACACGGCATTCAGAACTTGTACGCTCCCCCGATAGCCGAATGTGGCCGAACTAATGGTCTCAGTTTTCCAATAGTTTTGTACGATATATTGTGCCTGCATGTGCATGCACTTTGCTTTATTATTAATTATTACTTAATTCATACGGATTTCATAGTTATTTATTTAGTTATTTTTTTTTAAATTTTAAAATTGTAATTAGATTTGCTTCATGTTGCCTTAGCAACGCAGACGATTTTTGAAAAGACAGCTGCGTTGGAAGGTTAAAAATAGAACAGCGCGTGCATTTAATAATACCTAATAAATAAATATCTCGTAATTGCTGTTGCCATCCACAAAAATCCGATATTATAGATGTTCCAGTATATTCGAGAAATTAATTATAAAGCTTATAAAAGCCGAGAACAAACAACTCATCTCAGTAGTAGCTGTAGTTCTAGCGAACTGTTTGTTTACTTAATGCTGTGATTGATTGTAGCGATTTCGCTGTGAGATAGAATAGTTTCTTTGTTTTGAATTGATTTTTGCTAAACGTTTGACATTTTGTAATATTGTTAGAATATTTTTGAAGAAATATTTCAGCATTTTGATTTATCTCTTGCGGAAAGAATAAATTTTTGTTAACTTTTTAACGTTAATCGTGTTTATTCCAGCCCTTTGTATTCAGTATGTCTATATCAAAATAAAGTGGTAGTAAAATTAAACAAAAAATCGCTGACGAACATAGAAATTCCAAGTAAAAATGGGAATTAGAATATTTGTGCTGTGAAATAAAAGATAAATAATATGCTTGATATGTAATAATACTATTAATGTACCAAAGTTATAAATATTAAACGTCATTACGAACAACACAAATCGAAATATAACAATTACGAAGGATTAATGAGAGAAAAGTTGAAAGAGCTCAGTTAGGAGTTAAAAAGCACAGTCCATGTTTAGTAAGTATTGCAAGAAAAGTGAAGCAGCGGTACATGCAAGCTACGTCTTGTCCGAGTGACAGCTAAACATTCGAAACCTTTTACTGACGGTGATTTCATCAAAGAATGCCTAATGAAAGCTGAGAAATTGTTTGTCCTGGAAATGGAAGGCTTTTCAATCAATTTCATGTCCGAATACAGTTGTGGAAAGAGTTACTGATTTAGCCGCGAATTTAGTGATCAGATCAAAGCAAAATCATCTAGTTCGAAAGTTTCTCCATTGCCTGTGACGAGAGCACGAATTAGTGGCAAAGCTCAATTAGCGTGTTCTTCGTTCTTGTGACAAGAATTTTAACATTTTGAGGAATTACTGGAACTATACCGATGCCTGGTACTACTACAGGAGAATATTTTACTTGTGTTTTTGGACTTCTGCAGAAATACAATCTATCTTTGGCAAAATTAAGTTCTGTAGCTACAGATGGCGCTCCATCAATGACCGGGAAAAACAAGGCTTCGTAGCATTCTAAGAAAAAACTTAGTGAAATTCACGTTCAAACATTCATCATATGCATTATTATACATCAAGAAGTTCTATGCAAAGTAATAAATATGGAGACTGTTTTGTCATATATAAAAAAGTTATAAATTTTATAAGATCTCGAGTTTAAATCAACGTCAATTACTGCTTTCTAAGTGAGTTAGATAGTGATATTCGGGTTTGTCCTACTATACCGAAGTACGTTTGGTTATTTTGCTCCAAGATTCTCAAACAATTCTGGGATTTGAAGAAGAAATATGCCAGTTTTTAAAAACGAAAATCAAGACGTAAGTTTGTTTTACGATCCGATATGGATACAAGATTTATCTTTCTTGGTTGATAACCAAACACTTAACCGATTTAAATTTATCGTTACAAGGAAAAGATCATATCATTACGAACATGTTTGACATAATTAAAG